TCTGTTGAGCTGATGGGCTATGGATGGTGGGTGGTACACAGTGAATGAAATTGTGGAAGGTCTGGAACTTCACACCCTCTCCCCCTGAATGTGAAAGGAATTGGTTGCAAAAGCATGAAAACCTAAGAGTCAGGGAAATAGTGGCAGAGGAGGATGGGGGAGCAGAACAACAACATGACCCATTTTGCACTTGCTCAATTTAGGCTCTCCATAAGAACTCAGCATGTTTTATCCCAATTATTTAGGTCCTAATAGTATCTCTATTTTGCAGATGAGGAAACTGAAGCATAAAAGCTAAAGAGGATGGTGATCCAGGGTTCATGCCTGATATATGGACAATGCTCATGACCGATATCTGTGACACGCTTGACCTTTAAAGAGATAAGACTGGGTTGGATATTAAGAAAGAGAGAAAAAATGACATGCATGGTCTCCAGTCCTCTAAAAGCACATGGAGAGTATGAAGATGAAGTTGATACCATATTTACACATGATCTTAGTCACAGGTTTCACACAGATATAGTGGGAAGGGAAATTATACAGGAAAGTTCAATATCTAGATTTCAATATAGTCTGTAGCAGTTGAATTAAAGCAGACCCAGAGGGAGGATTTCTAGGGAAGGGCTAATATACCCAAAGAAAACAAATCTTTTTTATAGGAAATGGTTTCTTCTCCTGACCCAGGTCTATCATAAACTGCCTAGAAATTTCTGCTTCCTCTTGTTCATTTGATTAGGTATCTGTCAATATGTACTTGAGTTTATAAACACCTATTTTTAAAAATACTGAATGACTTAGTGTGGTTATTGTGTTACTGGTCAGTCACAACATGATATGAAATCATTGTATCTAAATCTTCTCTTTGTAATACCTCATTAAATCAGTTTTACAGAAGAAGTGAATTTTGATAGGAGAGGCAGAGTAAATAACTCAGTAAATAACTACAGAACAGTAAAATGGGTAGAACTCTCTCAAGCTCACCCAAAATAGGGTAGCCAATAAAGAAATTGGAAGTGAGGGCAAAGGGGATCCAGGAGCAGTTGAAATGTATTTTTATTTATCATAAAGTTTTGCATAAGTCTCACTGGATCACCATGGAAAGAAAGAGGAAAGATTCATCTTCACTCTCTCATGTTACATGAATCCCTTGATTTAACGACACAGAACTCAAGTGAATAGAGCTAGTGTTTGTTTACTTACTCAACAAATACACATTTAACTAGCATCTATTAAATAGACTTTTGTGTGCTCATCTGAGAACCTAACTGCTATTTATAACATTGCTTATTCTATGGGAAGAGAAAGACCCCAGGGACACAATGAAATATTGGACTATAACTTTTGTATAAGTTAGGGCTGTCTGTATTGCTTCAGTACTAAGAATAGAAGATGGCAGTTTCTCAACTTACTGGAAAACCCACCGGTGGGCTGAAGATTACATCTTTAAAAGCACCAAGCCATTGTCAGCAAAACTATAAATAATGTTATGCTGTTTGGGGTATGTGAATGTAATACTATTAACACATCAAAAACGGATCACAAATAGCACACACCACACATTTTACATTTTTCCCCCAATCACAACTACTTAACTCTATTAAGTTATCAAATTTATTTTACTACTTGTTGTTACACAGAACATATGTTTATCAATTTAATAGCTGGAGTTATCTTTGCCCTGCAAAAAAAAAAAAAAAGAAAGAAAAAACTAAAACAAAACAAAAACACACCCTATTTTATAGTACTAAGTGGGAGCAGGATCTGTCATTGATCCTATTAACACTGTACTTAAATCAACTGAGCTAACCAACTCCATTGATGAAATATCACAGAAATGTACCCACAAATGGCACTTATGTATATAGAAGTATTTATCACTGTCTAACCAGCAGGACTCTGATTATTTTTTTTAAAAATATGTAGCTCATGTGAACATATCTTGCTTTTCAATTAAGAGGTGCAGATGAATTAAGGATCATCTTTAAGAGATGATCTGGCTGGCTAACTTTCATGATCTCTGACCTTCTTTAGGAGCTTTTAAAGCATATTCAGGGATTTCCTGGCCAGATATAGGGCTGAAAGGCCCAATCTATGAATGGACCATGCCATCTAGACCAATTCTCCTTTTAGATGTCTGCTTTGAACCACTTCCTTATTTACCATAGACAGTGCAGGTATTTAAGACAATGGAAAACATACCAATAAGTGATTTTTTTGTAACTGTACTAAAGAATAATGAGGAAAAGTCTGTCAAACTGAATGCCTACATTTACATTTAAGGATTTTCTATGGCTTTTTGTACCCATTACTTGCCAATGCTCTATTATCACAGAAGATGTGGAAAAGGATGAGCACATAAGCATGGCTGAAGCACTTCATGTGTTATCCTCAATGTTGTCTTTAAAGTCTCAAAAGCAATTTTTAAATGTGAATTACGTTTTTGTAACAATTGCGCATTAACATAAACAGAACATGGGGTGCCTGGGTGGCTCAGTTGGTTAAGCGACTGACTTCAGCTCAGGTCATGATCTTTTGATTCGTGAGTTCGAGCCCCACTTTGGGATCTGTGCTGACAGCTCAGAGCCTAGAGCCTGCTTTGGATTCTGTGTCTCCCTCTCTCTGTGCCCTCGCACTCTGTTTCCCTCTCTCTCTCAAAAATAAATAAACATTAAAAAAACCATAATCATCACGTATACACAAATACACAGATGCACAACACCAATAGCCAAGAAAGTATTCTTGAGACATTTGAGATGTTCTTTCATACAACATGCTAGCACACATTCTCACCTCTGGTCAGGCTAGCTGGCACATGGAAGGCTCCGGGTTTCCCCCATGCCTTGCCCATGTCATGACCTTCACACAAGTTGAGATGCCCATTCTCTCCTACTTTTCCAAATCCCACCTGCCACAGGAAACTTTCTGGAACAATCCATCCACTCCTCACTGACCTCTTCTTCCATTGCCTTCCTGCCAGAATTATCTATGTAGCACTTCAAGGAGTACTGCTTTATTTGAACTCTGATTTATGTTACATAAATTCAACTTGTTTACCCAACTAGATTGCATGGGGGTTGAAACATCATTTCTGTATCTCCAAACACATCAAGCAGAGTGCCTACTTAGCACATAGAGGCACTTAATAAATCCCTATTTACCAACCATTTAAAAAAGAAACTTGCAAACCTCAATTATAGTGAATAGCTGTTTTGTTGTCATTAAGAGTGTGAATTCCCGAAATTCCATAGCACTTTCCTCCACACAAAGTTCTTAATCCTTTCCCACAGATTATCTCAGTTTCCTAAAATACTGAAATAGAAGGCAAGGAAGGGCAGAAGCTATAATTCCTAGGCCTGTTATATTCCTCTTGGAAAATGTGGAAAATGCGCACACGAAGAGGTGGCACCTTTGGTGGCTCAGACGGTGACACCTGCCTCACCTGTGGGAGTGGTAGGGTGAAAACCTCTGTTAACCAGACCCAGCTCTCTGGAATCCCTAGTTAAACAGAAGCATGGTTCTTCATATATTAAAAGAAGGAGGTGAGTGGGGCACCTGGGTGGCTCAGTCGGTTAAGCGTCCGACTTCGGCTCAGGTCATGATCTCACCGTCTGTGAGTTGGAGCCCCGCATCGGGCTCTGTGCTGACAGCTCAGAGCCTGGAGCCTGCTTCAGATTCTGTGTCTCCCTCTCTCTCTGACCCTCCCCCGTTCATGCTCTGTCTCTCTCTGTCTCAAAAATAAATAAACATTAAAATATATATATATATTAAAAAAGAAGGAGGTGAGTTATTTAAAATAAGATCAAGGATCAAGGATTTTATTTAAAAATCTACATCCTTGATAGGTTATACACTTACTACATATGCAGCCCAATTTTGTGCACCTTCCCAGGTATAGCACTTGATAATCACAATAAGGAACATCTGATGAGTACTTACTGTCAGCCAAGAATCAAAGAGCTTTAAATAACTAATCTCATTCAATTGTTACAAAACAAGAAGTGTTTATGACTATCATACTCATTTAATATAGCAAAACTGAGATAACTAGACAGCCTTTGAACTTAACCCTAACCCTACCCCACACCCACATTATGTAATGCCGGTACATATTGACCACACTCTACTGTTAATACAGTATCTACCTGCAGATAATCACAATTCTCAATCATTAAAAATTTTTCCTAGTATAGTATAGGTACTAAATTGAAATGTTGCCAACATATTACAAAACTATTCACAATGAACTTTGAAGCAATAGAACTTTTAGATTAACCTTCTATTTAAAAAAAAATTTAATGTTTATTTATTTATAAGACAGGGAGAGAGACAGAGTGCAAGCAGGGGAGGGGCAGGAAGAGAGGCAGACACAGAATCCGCAGCAAGCTCCCGGCTCTGAGCTGCCAGCACAGAGCCCAACATTGGGGCTCAAACTCACAGACTGCGAGATCATGCCTGAACTAAAGTTGGACGCTTAACTGACTGAGCCACCCAGGTACTCCATCAACCCTCTATTTAAAATCAACTGAACAGATCGCCCTCCACTGCCAACCTGCATTCTTGTTAATCAAGATTTTAAGGCACTAAAGAACTGCAGGAAAAAAGAGAGGGGGAGAAAGAATTTCTTGACCCTATTTTGCCAATTCAAAAACAAAAGCAACCTCATCATCAGTTTGTTGGAAATAGGGGATGGATTAATACTAGAAATTGGGAATAATTGAAATTTCACCCCAGTCCACCTGCCTAGGGTACCTGATCTGAGAGAACACTGGGCAATGACCTTTGGTTGTCACAAGTATAAATTTCTCTGAGCGATGTTGCAAGGAAGTATATTTATTTAGCTTAATGATATTGGGAGAAGCAGAGATGAATTCATGTAGGTGGGGAACAATTCCACTGGCCACTATCAGGGCTGATAAAACCAATATTCTGGTTTACATCACATTGGTATTGCCCAAGGATCCTCGGAAAACGAGAGGGAATCGGTTCTCTGAGGCTCTTACCTGGTGGCGAAGCTCACGTTGCTCATCAGTCTTGCCTGTCCGAATGGCAAATCATCACTCTGTGTAGAATCAGAGAATTCCCTCATGCTGCCTCTCTTTACCAGAAGTGTTGTCCCTGCAAGAGCACAGTAATCTTAATGAGCCAGTCTATCTTTCTACAAGGCATTTTTGAACCACTGCTACTGCCTGAGACATTTCTAGGCCCCCGACTAGGGAGAGGGTAGAGATCCTTAGCCACAGACTAATTCTAAGAGGATGGATTATAGAAATCTCTTCAATTTCCTTCTGCATGGTTAGAGAGTGGGTAGAAAATGATTGTGAGGATTTCAATACCATATGGATGCCTAAAATAAGCACCTATTGAGTTGCTGCTCTACCTTTCTAAGACATCACTCTAGCTCACCCAAGTGTAGCATCCCAGGGAGCTTCCTGTTACAGACAGGGTCTACAGCCACTATGGGACTCCAAGAAAGGATCACTATGCAAGTCCCCTTTTCCGTTCTGCAGATACTGCACAGGCTATAATTTATTCTCCTCAGATACTGCCTCCTTTGCTTTACTTTTCCTTCAAGGAAGGATTCCTTTATGATTAATTTCAGCTTTTGAAGAATCTTGATCTTGCATGGGCGAGGGCTCAAAATATCTGTGAATTTCCAATCTGGAAATAATACAAAGGGAAATCACTTTCTCACCTGCAAAATGGGAATGATACTGGGACTTCAAAGGGTGACTGTGAAGATAAATGCAAGAAAGCTTGAAATTTAATAATGAAATGAGCTATTTGCAGCTGCTCTGAGATGGAAAAAAAAAACTGACACATGAACCATTACTTCTCCAGTGATGCCATTTTTATTCCAGAACCCAGATTCGACTTAGGAATTCTTTCAACACACTGGGCTAGGACATCATTATTGGTCAATCAGAATTGGCACTTAGTATTGTGATAAGAAATATCATTCTAAAGGATGCCTGGAAGTTACATGCTTCTCTTTCACTCTTCAAGGACCCTGCATTATCTGCTTGCCTGAACCAGACTGCTGGGTGATCAGAGATTGGGAACTGTCTGAGAAGAAGTTATCAAGGAGATGGACAAAGTCAAAGAGTAGTTATCACTGTTACTCTTCCTCCTTGCTTACCCAAGTGGAGAAAAGAAACACAACCTTTTTCTCCTGTGTCAATTTAAGAATTATCTGCGTACTCAGACTACTCAAAATGAGGAGTTCATGTAGAGCAAACCTTTATTTTTTTTTTTTTAATTTTTTTTTCAACGTGTTTTATTTATTTTTGGGACAGAGAGAGACAGAGCATGAACGGGGGAGGGGCAGAGAGAGAGGGAGACACAGAATCGGAAACAGGCTCCAGGCTCTGAGCCATCAGCCCAGAGCCCGACGCGGGGCTCGAACTCACGGACCGCGAGATCGTGACCTGGCTGAAGTCGGACGCTTAACCGACTGCGCCACCCAGGCGCCCCTAGAGCAAACCTTTAAACCCACATATCACCTGGTTTGGGACAATGGCCAACAGAAAGAGCCACAAAAACATCTTGGTATCCCTCTTCTTTTGATGTAATTCTTTCTGACCCATTCTAATCCATGGAAAATATCAATTGAGTGAAAACACACTTCTAGAAGAAGAGACACCGCCTTTGGATATGGGATTTGTCAGCTTCAATCAGCAGTAACTGCATCACACAGGTGTTCTAAGAGTCAAGTTTAAAATGAGACTGCTCCCTACCTGTAATCCCCAGATGCCTTCACTTACCTAGGGTGGGTTGATGGGGGTTTTCAGGTTGACTGGTGTTTCCTTATTTCCTGGTTACCTTTTGCCCTGGGGGGAATGGCTCAGGGACAGAACATCTGAAGAAAATTCTGAGTGAGGATTGGTGTGTCAACTGTCAATCTTTAAAGGCTACCCACTGAGTACAGGTGATAGAAGCTGAACTATGGAATGCAAAGGGCAACATGCCGAAACTGGCTTAGAAATGATGGAACGTTCAGGAAGTCTCTGCCTTCTCAAAGCCTAACTTGGCAGCCAACATTTGCCAGGTATTAAAAAACAGTGGGAGGGGATAAGTGGGTGAGGTAAGTGCTATGTATGAACCCCTTGAAATTTTTGCTAAAACTTTGAATCTTCCCTTGCGTTATTTTTAACAAAATCTCTTCTGAAAACACATTAAATATCTGTATAATTTTGGAAACTTTCCCAGTTCTGGAAGTATGTGCATGTGGGGGTCTGAAAGAGAAGCCTGTATGGTGGCTGGCGACACCTCTGGCCTTGGGCTGCCTGCCTGAAAGTGAAAGGTTAACTGGCACACGTGACCTCTCCTGGTCCTGGTCCCTTCCAACTCGAATTCCGTAATCCTAATGACCATCACAAAATGTCTAGAAGTGTTCTCTCTACCAGGTTGCAGACAGGGCAGTTAAGAATAAAACACCCAGGGCACCTGGGTGGTAATTAGTTGGTTGGCCCAACATCAGTCGCTTCAGGATCTCATCGTTCATGAGTTCGAGCTCCCCATAAGTTGGCTCCCCCCTTGTGCTGACAGTCAGCCAGAGCTTGGAGCCTGCTTCTGATTCTGTCTCCCCCTCTCTTTCTCTCCCCTGTTTAGACTCTGTCTCTATCTCTCAAGATTAAATAAACTTAAAAAAAAATTAAAAAAAAAAAAAAAGAATGTGCAACATCTATTATTGCCCCTGCCCCCAGTTTCTATGCTGCTTCAAACGACTGAGGAAAAAGCAAAGAATACCAAAGTCCTCTATCTCAAGGCAGTTGATAAGCAAATGAAGTTTCTCTGATTACATTCTAAGGCAGTCTGATCATTTTAATATATATTTTTATCTATCTACAGATGACAATGTGCAAGTATTTTTTCATATTTTAGGCAAGAAAAGAACGGAATGGATTTTTGCCTTAACACTCTAGCTAGACTGTTAATGCCCCTTCATGATCTCCTATGACCTCCCTACAGATATTCCAGAGAAGGTTTATGGATAAAGCATCAGACCTCAAAAAAGGACATGGTATCTAATATATGTAAATTATTTAAAAAAAAAGTCCCTGTAAATGGCCAACATTTTGATTACGTTTCTCTCTTCTTCAAGAAGTGATACCCTTGAAAGCCACGGGCAAACATTTTCTTTTTTGGCTTACATGATAGGACTGCATGTGAAGACATACTTCATATATGGATAGCAGTAACTCTAACCCTTTCTATCTCATCCAAGAAATCTTATCATCGCCCAAATAAGCAAAAATAATTCCTATATTATTTGGATAATCATGAATCTGCCACAATTTCCTAAAAAGCCAAATTGTTGCAATTATTTACAAAATTTAATATTTGGCCACCATTGTGACACGCCTAAAGAGTGGTATCATGTATTCTGGATAGGAACCGCTACTCTTAGGAGATAAAGAAGACGCAGGACAACAGAACATGCCAATGCCTTAGTCTTGCAAAAGGAGGGATAACATTCATCCATCTGTTTATTTATTTCTTTATATATCCATTCATGATCAGAAGTTTTTTCCAAGAAAATTATTATAGCCATGAAAGATGGCATAGATTGGCATAAAAAGAGGCTAGATCCAGGGAAACCAGCCCAGAAGCTATGGTAATCACTGGGATAAGAAATAAAGAGGGACACAGCTGAGGTGGAGATAGACACCAAAGGCTGGAGAAACAGAGCCCCACTTTCAACTACAGTATTAGAATAACAACTGTCACAAATATAGGAATACAAGATATTTGTACATGACCTTGGTAGGCTTATTATCAAGTTGCTTTCCTTTTTACTGAAATTCAGTGGGCATGTGGTCCCTGACCCTGCTTTAGAGAAGAAGAGTCACCTAAGAACCCCTTTTATTCTCTTGCCTACCTAAGGCCACTGGTGCAGGAGGAGAGCTTTGACCAGATTTCAGAGTCGCTAGGTAAGCCAAGCCAGGGAGACCAGCTGATAGATTCATTAGGGGATTTCTATCTCAGCCTTCTGGGTTTGCAATTCTCCTCCCTGGGAAACACTGTCTGGGGTGACTCCTGTCTTAACAAGGTCATTTAGTCTTGGATGTTTATGAAAAAAGTACCCAGGGCCAAATCTAAAGAGAACTGTGAAGTGGGGTACATTCAAGTTTGGACCATGGATCCAAACCATTTCATATCATTGCTTCCTGTCCCTGACTTCTTTCACATCCTCTCTCCAATCTCCATTTAGTGATTCCCCTCTTCTTTAGGTGTGACTCCACTGCAAAAATTAACACTTTAATGAGGACTCTAAAACAGTGCTCTGCGGTAGAGATTAGGGAAATCTGGAAACAACTTTCCTCAGGGCCATTTTCATACTGCTCATTTCCTCCACTCCACTGCACACAAAGATCTGTGAAAGCTCCTCCTTACCCTGGTAGAGGACCCCTACTCTAAGACTGGAGGCTTCAGAGGTTTCAGTGGTAAAATAGCAGGCAGTGAACTGTATAATTAGGGCTAGAGAAGTTCCTGCCCAATAATTTACCTAACTATAGTAAACAGAAAAACAGAAAGACAAGTCCTCCTGATCTGAAGGCTAGCCCTACTGGTCTTCCTGCTCTGAACCCCAAAACATCAGGGAATGGGTTAAAGTAAGTATAATCTGCTAGGACTTCTCTGCTAATTCTTATTTCATCTGCATTTCATTGATGAGAAAAGAAATAATCAGATTATTTTTGAGTTTATATTCCCACAGGTAATATGATAATTAACATACATATACTTACTATTTTCCAGGGACTGGTCTTAATGCTTTTTATATTAATATACTCCAGTTGTATACGCTTTATGTGTTAATATTCTCATTTAGTCTTCCGAGAGATGTAATATTATCATCAGCATTTTATAGTAATCTGAAGCACAATGAGAGCTTAAATAATTTGCTTAAAGTCACACAGCTAAGAGGTGGCCAGTGCAGAATCCATGTTCTTCACACTGGGCTGCCTCTCTAAAACGTTAAGCTCATGAATTTAAGTGGAGAATCTCTGGTGTGGTTCCAGTTTTAAAAAGCGGAAGTGATCAAAGGAAAGAGGGATTATAAATCATGGAACATCAGAATTGAAAATGGCCACAGGGATGACAAGAACCGCCTGGCT